TCACGTTCAGTTCAGTGAGCGTCATGCAGCATTTAATCCCGTTTTAAAATTCTAAATCAATGTTATACTGAATCGAATCGTTAAAAGAAAAACTAATAGCAGGTACTAAAATTATGCACTAAATTAAAATAAAAATTTAAGCTAAAAACAAATAAAAATAAAAATAAAGCAAAAAAATAAAAATTACAAAGCAAGTAACAATTCAAAATACTAATAGTAAATAAAAGTATAAATAGCATAATAAATACATAGCATGATAGAGGATATAGTATAAATATTATAAAAACTACTAAAATAACAGATATGAACTAATGAGTCATTACACGAGCTGAATGTGCAGTTGAGTGCAGTGCATTGTGGGACACATGATCTTGTGCAGTCTGCTTTATTCTGAATAATGTTATTTAGCCTGTGTGTGTAGTGTTGAGTGAGTGAGTGAGTGAGTGAGTGTGTGAGAGAGTGAGTGAGAGAGTGAGTGAGTGAGTGAGTGAGTGAGTGAGTGAGTGAGTGAGTGAGTGAGTGAGTGAGTGAGTGAGTGAGTGAGTGAGTGAGTGAGTGAGTGAGTGAGTGAGTGAGTGAGTGAGTGAGTGAGTGAGTGAGTGAGTGAGTGAGTGAGTGAGTGAGTGAGTGAGTGAGTGAGTGAGTGAGTGAGTGAGTGAGTGAGTGAGTGAGTGAGTGAGTGAGTGAGTGAGTGAGTGAGTGAGTGAGTGAGTGAGTGAGTGAGTGAGTGAGTGAGTGAGTGAGTGAGTGAGTGAGTGAGTGAGTGAGTGAGTGAGTGAGTGAGTGAGTGAGTGAGTGAGTGAGTGAGTGAGTGAGTGAGTGAGTGAGTGAGTGAGTGAGTGAGTGAGTGAGTGAGTGAGTGAGTGAGTGAGTGAGTGAGTGAGTGAGTGAGTGAGTGAGTGAGTGAGTGAGTGAGTGAGTGAGTGAGTGAGTGAGTGAGTGAGTGAGTGAGTGAGTGAGTGAGTGAGTGAGTGAGTGAGTGAGTGAGTGAGTGAGTGAGTGAGTGAGTGAGTGAGTGAGTGAGTGAGTGAGTGAGTGAGTGAGTGAGTGAGTGAGTGAGTGAGTGAGTGAGTGAGTGAGTGAGTGAGTGAGTGAGTGAGTGAGTGAGTGAGTGAGTGAGTGAGTGAGTGAGTGAGTGAGTGAGTGAGTGAGTGAGTGAGTGAGTGAGTGAGTGAGTGAGTGAGTGAGTGAGTGAGTGAGTGAGTGAGTGAGTGAGTGAGTGAGTGAGTGAGTGAGTGAGTGAGTGAGTGAGTGAGTGAGTGAGTGAGTGAGTGAGTGAGTGAGTGAGTGAGTGAGTGAGTGAGTGAGTGAGTGAGTGAGTGAGTGAGTGAGTGAGTGAGTGAGTGAGTGAGTGAGTGAGTGAGTGAGTGAGTGAGTGAGTGAGTGAGTGAGTGAGTGAGTGAGTGAGTGAGTGAGTGAGTGAGTGAGTGAGTGAGTGAGTGAGTGAGTGAGTGAGTGAGTGAGTGAGTGAGTGAGTGAGTGAGTGAGTGAGTGAGTGAGTGAGTGAGTGAGTGAGTGAGTGAGTGAGTGAGTGAGTGAGTGAGTGAGTGAGTGAGTGAGTGAGTGAGTGAGTGAGTGAGTGAGTGAGTGAGTGAGTGAGTGAGTGAGTGAGTGAGTGAGTGAGTGAGTGAGTGAGTGAGTGAGTGAGTGAGTGAGTGAGTGAGTGAGTGAGTGAGTGAGTGAGTGAGTGAGTGAGTGAGTGAGTGAGTGAGTGAGTGAGTGAGTGAGTGAGTGAGTGAGTGAGTGAGTGAGTGAGTGAGTGAGTGAGTGAGTGAGTGAGTGAGTGAGTGAGTGAGTGAGTGAGTGAGTGAGTGAGTGAGTGAGTGAGTGAGTGAGTGAGTGAGTGAGTGAGTGAGTGAGTGAGTGAGTGAGTGAGTGAGTGAGTGAGTGAGTGAGTGAGTGAGTGAGTGAGTGAGTGAGTGAGTGAGTGAGTGAGTGAGTGAGTGAGTGAGTGAGTGAGTGAGTGAGTGAGTGAGTGAGTGAGTGAGTGAGTGAGTGAGTGAGTGAGTGAGTGAGTGAGTGAGTGAGTGAGTGAGTGAGTGAGTGAGTGAGTGAGTGAGTGAGTGAGTGAGTGAGTGAGTGAGTGAGTGAGTGAGTGAGTGAGTGAGTGAGTGAGTGAGTGAGTGAGTGAGTGAGTGAGTGAGTGAGTGAGTGAGTGAGTGAGTGAGTGAGTGAGTGAGTGAGTGAGTGAGTGAGTGAGTGAGTGAGTGAGTGAGTGAGTGAGTGAGTGAGTGAGTGAGTGAGTGAGTGAGTGAGTGAGTGAGTGAGTGAGTGAGTGAGTGAGTGAGTGAGTGAGTGAGTGAGTGAGTGAGTGAGTGAGTGAGTGAGTGAGTGAGTGAGTGAGTGAGTGAGTGAGTGAGTGAGTGAGTGAGTGAGTGAGTGAGTGAGTGAGTGAGTGAGTGAGTGAGTGAGTGAGTGAGTGAGTGAGTGAGTGAGTGAGTGAGTGAGTGAGTGAGTGAGTGAGTGAGTGAGTGAGTGAGTGAGTGAGTGAGTGAGTGAGTGAGTGAGTGAGTGAGTGAGTGAGTGAGTGAGTGAGTGAGTGAGTGAGTGAGTGAGTGAGTGAGTGAGTGAGTGAGTGAGTGAGTGAGTGAGTGAGTGAGTGAGTGAGTGAGTGAGTGAGTGAGTGAGTGAGTGAGTGAGTGAGTGAGTGAGTGAGTGAGTGAGTGAGTGAGTGAGTGAGTGAGTGAGTGAGTGAGTGAGTGAGTGAGTGAGTGAGTGAGTGAGTGAGTGAGTGAGTGAGTGTGTGTGTGAGTGAGTGAGTGTGAGTGTGTGAATGAGAGTGTGTGTGTGTGTGAGTGAGTGTGAGTGTGTGTGTGTCTGTGTGTGTGTGTCTGTGAGTGAGTGTGTGTGTCTTTGTGTGTTTGAGTGTCTGTGTGAGTGTGTTTGAGTGTGTGTGTGTGTGTGTGTGTAGTGTGAGTGTCTGTGCGTGTATGTGTGTGTGCGTGCTGCTCACTGGCGTCCTCCGGTGGCCGGCTCCAGCACGTATCGGTCAAAGTAGAGCCGCACGAGTCTCTCTCTCTCCTCAAGTCCCGGCAGCATGAAGTTCACGATCTCATCAATTCGGTCATTTATGGCCCAATCAAACTGCTCAGGCTGATTACTGGCCAGAACCAGCATGAACCTGAAACACACACACACCACATCAGCTGTCTGTGTGTGTGTGTGTGTGTGTGTGTGTGTGTGTGTTGGCTCAGAGAAACCCACAGAGGTGTTCTCCAGGGATCTGTCTAAGCGCAATCATCTTAGAGCTCTTACTTGTTGCTCTGTTCTCCGGTGCGGTACAGGAATGCGTTCAGAGTCGCTCGGAGATCCTCACTGATCTTCTCCTGAAACACACACACACACACACAGACGCGTCACATGACCCCTGCAGTGACACAGACAGGAATGCGTTCAGAGTCGCTCGGAGATCCTCACTGAGATCTTCTCCAAACACACACACACACACACAGACGCGTCACATGACCCCTGCAGTGACACAGATACACACACAGTGAAGGAGTGTGAGACTCACGGTGGATCTCTTGCGCAGGAATGCATCAGCTTCGTCCACAAACAGCAGCAGCCTGGAGAACACAGCAGAACATCATCACACACTCAAACACACACACACACACTAGGGCTGTGTGATATTGAAGAAAAATGCGATATGCGATACCTTGTTAAAAAATGCGATATTCGATATGCGATACGATAATGCTTAAAGTGTGTAAAATCAATTTCAATTATATTTTAAAATATTTAAAAATTAAAATTATGTAACCAATTTGTTTCACATTCTTTCTTCGAAAAGAAAGAATCGCTACAACTTCTGAAAGTGACCAGCAGTGTTTTAGCAGTACATTAAAAGTAATTTTACTTTCGTAAAAAAGTAATTCTCACAAATCAGAAAATGTCATTTTAACATCAGTGTGAACATACAAACAAAAAACATTAATGACACTAATTTTATATCATTGTAACTTTGCTTTCCACACACTTTAAGTACTTCTTCATACCACAGCAAACACTATAGTCTGAGAAAGTTCAAACATGATTAAAGGCAAGTGAACAGTCAGTAAAAAAAAAGAAATACACAATTTACAAGCATAGATAAAATAAACAGTAGCATTCGGGTACAGAAATGTAATAATTAAGTGTAAAATAACACTGCATAGTGTTCACTGTATGAATTAAATTTAGATTAATCTTTGTTATAGCTGTTTTGTTGTTTGATTAACATTAGTGACATATTCAGCAGCAGGTATTTATAGGCTGCTGTCCCTTTAAATCCCACTGCACGGATCCAGTATAATCTGATTGCTTTCTCAGCTGTTTACATTCATTTAAAACCTAACGGACTGCGTTTACGAGAATGATCGTCGAGACGGGTACTATTGACATAATTCTGTGTGTAGGTGTCTGTTCAAACATGAGGAGGATATCAACTCGGTGTTCGTGCGCCGTCTGAAACACATCTCTCTGTGTGCGCGCGCTTTGCAGGTGTGCGGCAGAACTGAAGAACACACACACTTATCTGGAATATATGAAAAGGTTAATTATATAATTACAGTAACTTAGTACATTGAGATTTTGGTGTTTTTTTGTCATATATATTACAGAATGAATTAAATCAACATGTATACAATTTAAATAAACAATTTACTGTTTTACATTTGTGAATAAATTCAGATTACAAAATAAATATAATTCTGCTATATATATATATATATATATATAAAAATACATGTATTTATTAATAAAATTCTTTAAATTGTTAAATATATTAAGAGTATTATAAATATATAAGAGTATATTACACCTAAATAAATATTTATAAGCAAATCGAATAAAGTATATCAATATAGCAACGTCAATATTTTTGTCGGCATCAGCATACATTATTATTATTTGAAATTATTTTTCAACTATAGAAAGTGTTTTTACGTCATGATTTAATTTATACTGGTATACGCAAACTAAAAAAACAAAATAACGATGAACTGTATTACACTTGTTAATAATAAAATAGTTTAAAATAATTTACTATAAATATATATATAAAGCATATCTCAGCTTTATGTAAAAACATTTTACAGAATTTAAATATAACAATAATTTTATTCTTCATAAATGTAAATAAACATTTAGGAAAGTATTGAATGTAATTATAGAATTCATGATTCTAATGTGTTTCCTCACCCGCGGCCGCTGGTTCCGGCCCAGTCGAACACCTTGTGCATCGCCGTCACTCCGTCTCGGCCCATCGGCGCCACGTCTCCTCCCGTCATGATGGCGTAATCCATCCCAGAATGCATCGCCAGCTTCTGCTCGCAGCCAATCAGAGGCGGTTACACACACACACACACACACACACACACGTGTGCGCGAGCGTTACCTTAGCGAAGAGCGTCTTTCCCGTCCCCGGCGGCCCGTACATCAGGATGTTCCGGTACAGCCCGCGGTTCTGTCGCGTGTTCCTCGTCGCTATGGCGATGTCGCGCACGCGCTCTTCCAGCGAAGGCTGCACAGAAACAGGAAGTGAAACGTGCACTCTAACAGGAAGTGCGTGTGGTGAAGGATGCGCAAACACTCACGCTGAGCACGACTCCCTCCAGCGCGTCCTGCGGCTTGCTCTTCAAGCGCTTCGCCATCTGAAACAACACACACGCGCATGAGCGCCGCCACACACCTCACTTCTTGTCTGCACAGGAAGCACTCATCGTACAGACATCCATCGTACCTTGACGGGGTGTTTGAGGGCTTCCACCACAGTGAATCGTGACGTTTCTCGCACGAGCGAAGGTTTTCCTAGCCGCGCCTCAATATATCGTCCGGCCACAGTAGTAGCGTTACGCGCGGAATAAACGCCCACCGCCAGCAGCGTGAGTCCCGCCACCTGCAGGAGACTCAGAGCATCACACACACACACACAGACAGACAGACACAGACACAGACACACACACACACGATCGTCTGACACACACTCACACACCAGCACTTACCGTCGCCGTCACTTTATCCCAGTCTGATGTAAACGCGCGGAAACCTTCACCGAACACAGCACCCGCCGTCCTAAAACACACAATGAATGGTCACATGACCACATCTAAACCTGGTCATGCGTGCATTTACAATTCACAAAACTTTGCTTCATGTCATTTTCCATCATAAATTTATTGAAATGCTGAGAACTGAAAATATTTCAAATTTAATTTGCACCAATTTACATTTTTAATTCTAGTACAATTATAAATATTGTGCATACATTATAGTATTTTTTATATAGCCATCATTCTCCAGCACAAGCGTGCAAGTGAATTCATGGCTGAAAACTTATATATATATATATATATA